TTATTGACTTGCGATTAAGGTCGTAGAACTTACGACGATGTTGACGACAGGAGCTGGAGGCGCTGCTGGTGGAGGTGGGGGACCAGACGGCGACGTGTCTGACCCACGTCACGGAGGTGGTCGCTGCAAAGGTGGGTCACGCTGACGTAGAGTGGCTTTACGACGTCGTAGGGGATGTTCTTACGACGGCGTAGAGACTGTGCTTACGACGTCGTAGAGGCACGTGCTTACGACGTCGTAGAGGATGTGCTTACGACGTCGTAAGTGATGTGCTTACGACGTCGTAGAGGATGTTGTTACGACGTCGTAGAGGTTGTTCCTGCGACGTCGTAGAGGATGTTCTTGCGACGTCGTAAAGGCTGTTCTTACGACGTTGCAGAGGCTGTTCTTACGACGTCATAGAGAATGTTCTTACAACGTCATAGAGGATGTTCTTACGACGTCGTAGAGGATGTTCTTACGACGTCTTAGAGGATGTTCTTACGACGTCTTAGAGGTTGTTCTTACGACGTCGTAGAGGAAGTTCCTACGACGTCGTAGAGGTTGTTCTTACGACGTCATAGAGGATGTTCTTACGACGTCGTAGAGGATGTTCTTACGACGTGTTAGAGGATGTTCTTACGACGTCGTAGAGGTTGTTCTTACGACGTCGTAGAGGATGTTCTTACGACGTCGTGGCGGCTGATCTTACGACGTTGTACAGGCCCGTCCTTTCGACGTCATAGCGGCCGGACATTGTTGAGACAAATTTTAACATCGTTACAGTGGCGACTAGTTACGTCATCGTAGAGACGAATTTTTACGATATCGTAGTTTACATCCACGAAAATATATATAGGCCATTATAAAAGCCCTTATTCACAACATATGCTAGGTCAAGCTTGTTACACATTGTGAACATATAGCTCACTGATGTTGAACTAAGGTGGTCGTAAAATTTACAATCAACGTGGAAAGTTGTGAACATAAGTTTTATTCCGCACTGAATACATCGAAGTAACGCTTATGGTATTTGTTGTAATAATATGCTCTGAGATGTTGAATATGTCTATTTAAATAAGTAAATATTTATAATTAAAACGAATAGTTTATATTTTTCATTGTCCAAAAACATATCAACATACAATAAGTTGATTATATATACAATATGTTGATTATTATATAACGTATTGAGTTTCCATGCATGAATCATGGACATGTTCGGTAATTCGACGCATCGTCACTCTGTACCGTCCCACGTCACACTTCATCACCGCAATGTGTAACTAATGCAAAATAACCTAAACCGACCACTGCACTTCATTTATGCACGTCACTCCCACGTCATCCTTTGCTCCCCACGCTTCCCCATGTCCCCCAACGCCTCCTCCCCACGCTGATTCACGTCATCTCACGCTCCCCCATGTCCCTACACGCCCCGCTCTCCCCCCCTGACACCAAGTTCCCATGTCCCCAATGTCCCACCGCGCCCCCTCACGGCCCCTCCACGCCCTGTCTCTTATACACATCTAGATGTGTATAAGAGACAGGCTCCAGGTACTGCCTGCACTGCTCCAGGTACTGCCAGCACTGCTCCAGGTACTGCCTGCACTGCTCCAGGTACTGCCTGCACTGCTCCAGGTACTGCCTGCACTGCTCCAGGTACTGCCT